GATTATCTCTGTTAGCCTATTACATCAAAATGCATCCAGATGAGCGTGATATAAACCAATGAAGAGCAGAATAATCAGTTGAATATTCAATGAAATGTTACGTAAAAGTTCATCGAGCTGTCGCTGATCATGTCATTCGTCCGAATTGCGTCTATTTCCTTAGCTGAACATCAATGATGGAGGGCAAACAGCAAAGATAACTGCATATAAATTAGATGGGAATGATTAAGGCTTACTTCAAGATGGGCATAGTATCAAAATTCACACAAATTGACCTGTTTTATCAAATCCCGAAATCCCGGGATTTTTCAAAACTTAAATCCCGGGATCGGGATCAGAACTGTAATCCCGGGATCCCGTGCAAACCTTAGTGTGAACTGAGAGAAGATTGCGTGGATAGATTTGAAATAATTGTGTAACGAGCTGATGGTGAACTGGGGTCACGAAAGAGCGTTGAACATCCGATCAGCGTTGGATTCTGCCATGGTCTAAAATCTTTGTTGAATTTCGATGTTGCTGTTAGAGAACTTTGAAAAACAGAAAAAATGAAAAGGCTCAGTTTCCACATGGTGACATAAGCCGAGAACGAGACCTATGTGGTTGAAGAGAAAGAGAAAGGCAGAGTTGTTGGCAAGAGATTTCATAACTGAGTTCTTCGCGTGTAGCGTCGGTCGACTCCTGCGGGGAATGTCGCGGCTAGCTCGAAAAACAGGCGTAAATAGATGGAGTAAATTGAGAGAAGAGAGTACTTAAGCAGATTTGAAATGAGCATGGTATGGGTCGGTGGAGTGCTGGAAATACGCTGGGCTTAGATGATCTGCTCAGAGATGAGCTCAGAGAGTTCGATTCTGTGACGGTCTGTTGAATATTGATGTCGTTGGTTGAAAATTTTGAAAAATAGAGAGAAAATGAAGAGTTTCGACACTGAGTCTTGAGACGTTTAAAAGAATGGTAACACTAGCATGCTGAAAAAAAACCCTCATACCTCGATTTCGTTAATTAACTGAATAAGAGGCGTCAGTAACAAAGACGGAAAACTTTGCAATAATTAGGGAAATCAGTTACATGCACTGAGCATGCCAACTGTAAGAAGTGAGCAGTGGAAGAGCGATAAAATTTGGTGCAAGACATGAGTGGCGATAACAGATGAGTTCGTTGAAAGAAATCTAGCTTTCGAAATGTTATATGCTGTCACAATAACAATGTGTACTCAACACAAAATACAATACGTTCTTCTTTGCCATTCTTCATTTACATCCCCAACACATTATTATACAACAAATATAACACAAAAATTACATCTAACTGTTAATCGAACATTTCAACAAACAAGCATACGGATACATTGTCAAACTTGCATTCATCTGTTCGATCCTCGTCCAAGCTAGATTATAAGATCCACTTTTCATCGATCGCTTCACTTCCAAACTTATTCCACTTCTCTTCGGAATTTCTAACTTTTGTCCGTTTCTTTTGAATTTTCATTGGTCTCGCTAAAGTGTCGCTATTCACAGTAAATTCCGTCCCGTGATTTTGTTCCAGTTCCTTAGCCATGAAATGGTACATCCATTTTGGCTGGCTAAACTGAATGTAATCACGCACATTCCAAAACGGATGTGACACAGTGTTATGAAGCAGTAAACTCAGACGTAAATTATCTTGATGGAATAAATTCGAACAATGTAATCGTCGAAAAATTTATCATCGTATGATTTCTGTGTATTATCATTCGGGAATAAATTAAGTATGTTTGTAAAGATGCTTTGATAATCAAATCCTCGCTTATGATTATCTGTTAACAGACGATCACCTCTTCTCTTATAGAAGGTGCATTCAATCACCAGGAATTCACGTGCATGTAAACATTTTCTGTTCGAGAGTCTCAGCAAATGTAAGAGGTAAATGGCTTACTCTTATAGCAGTCGAACGCTTAATAATCTTCTTCAACAAAGTGAAGAGGTAAAACTGCTGAATTACATTATCTGATATTCTTTCACGAAAGTAAACTTTGTAATAATCATATCAGTTAGCATGTTTCTGAGAATTAACAGATTACTCACTTCAAGGGTACAATCGTAAGTGAATCTGATCTTGAGAAACTCTTGCGTACCACTGGTTTTCAAGATGTATCTGCTTTTACATGCGGATGAATAGAATGATAAATCTCGAATGCAAAGTTCCCTGTAAGAATATGTTTGCAGGTTATCAGACAGCTGACCATAGAAGAAATAGATGAATTTCGAGAGGCATTCTTACTTTTCGATAAGGTAAATTGCCCACCTTTATGCAGCTCTTACCGTTGCACTTTCACAAAGTACAAAAGGTTTCACATGAAACGACGTCTGATAGGCAGATGCAATTTGCAAACGTTGCAAACAAGCATTGTGCTGATAGCTTTTAGCAGTAGGAATTTGAAGAATCGTTGCGGTTACCTCCGATTATGAGTTTTTAAGAACGAATGCACGAGGTCATAATCGGTGGAGATAAATGTACGCGTTTGATCACCTGATCTCATATTGCAGTTTACTTCACCTAATCTAGGTGAAACACTTCTGAAGAAAAAAAGGAATTCATAACAATTTAGTAATGCTCGATTAGATGCAATAATCGTATGGAGTCATAGTAGGGGTACATTATTGACTGCATTTCACCTGGATAGATAAAAGTTTGTTATTAGGGGGGGGGGCGAGTGAGGGGGAAGAATTCATATATGAAAAAATGATATTCTTTCCCTCATTTAGGAAAATTTTAATTTCCTCATTCAGGATGGTAACGGAACAATGTCGACGAAGGAATTGGGCATTGCGATGCGTTCATTGGGACAAAATCCAACTGAGCAGGTGGGCAAAATTACATAAGTTGATAGATGCATAGTCGAATACATAACTGGACTGTCGTCTTTTGTCTCTTCAAAGCTTAATGTCATTTAGTACAACTGAATTCAGGAGATCCTCGAAATAATAAATGAAGTTGACATCGATGGGAATGGTCAAGTGGAATTTCCAGAATTTTGTGTTATGATGAAAAGAATTATGAAAGAAACTGATCAGGAGATGATCAGGGAAGCGTTCCGTGTCTTCGATAAAGATGGTAATGGTGTTATAACTGAACAAGAGTTCAGGTACTTTATGGTGAGCCCTTTGCTTTGTATTCTTCCTCATTAATAAACTCAAAGCACTTGGAGTTGTTAGGTCATAATTAATAGAGGAAAGCATATCTTATGAGCAGGCTAGGGTTGTAGAACTACGATTTTCAAATGACGCGTATTTGTTTAACAACTTTTAAGCTTCCCCAATAGTTCGGGTTTTCATTTATCAGAACATCATGGTTATCGTGGCCCATCACGTGCGTTTAGATATGACAACATCTTCGTAGCATTGCATATTTGCACAGTTGCAAAAGAGATGCTTAGCAAAGGTATTAGTCATATCCAGTGCAATATTCTCGTTCATATGTAAACACATTCCTCTATAGAATGAGGGAGTTCATCTCCAAAAGGTATATATTTTTCGACTGTTTGGATCGTGGTTCATCAAGTTGCAAAACACTATGATGATTTGGATGCGAAGGCGCATATGAGTAGGTGGTCCAAAAATGATGATTTTCTAAATATTGCTGCCTTTAATATTAAATCGTTATTTGACTGCATACTGATCACCTGAATATGGAGCAATATCTAAAAATTTGGAATGAATTTCCAATAGCTCTAAATTTTCATGGGAAGAAGTTGTTCAGACATTGGCTACTAACTTGACACCATATTTCCTTCAATACTTGGACTTAATTCCTGGCATCTTGATCCAATTTTTATGAAGCCATCGAATGCTCCAACTGGAGTTCTGTTCCAGGTTCACATGGGTATGCAATTTGGTGAAGAAGAAGTTGACGAAATAATGAGGGAGATCGATGTGGATGGTATGAAGTCCATTTGGTTCCATCACTGATCACTTAACTTTTGAGAGCATGTTGTAATAGCTGAGAGAAAATTATGCAGATCATTTCGTATTAACAATACATGGAGAAAGCGATTAAGAGGAGGATGATGGCCAAATTAAGATTGTATATTCAGAACGGCTGTCTAGTACCATGTACATGACTCGGTATGCTTCAGGAAATGAGTCTGGATCGAAAAATTGTCGATCATATCTAATTCGAATTCATGACGATATGATTTTTTTTTTTCATGTGGCACTGAATTATCTTTGATCATTTGATTTATGTTATTAGGGATGATGATGATCGTGTTGCCGAAACATCGTATTATTCATCTTTCATTAATCTGAGTATCTTACCCGCTTTATTTTCGACAATATCAAATGAAACTTCAATGTTTAGGTAACGGAGAGATCGATTATGAAGAATTCGTGAAGATAATGGGTGAACACGGCACATTTCGATAAGAATCTAAAGAACGCAATGTTTGATATCGATGTCAGTTAGACTGATAAAATTTTATTTCATTTCATATTTTACACTCATCATCAATATCTTCTACAAAAGCCATGTTTATTGACTGAAAAAATGAATGGAAGAAACATTCAGTCAACATTTTATACTCTATTGAAAATGGTATCTACTAGAAACCCAACCAAGATGTCATCTACAACAAGAACTGCACTTGTAAATTGCTTATGAAAAAACGCATCTTCCCCATCAAAAACAGTTGAATTTTTCAAGAGCCATGTTGAATAGGGTTAGCATAAGAGTGTCAAAATTCAAAAGTTGGAAGTAGATAAAGTTGATTTTAAGCTTAGCCATAGACTAACAGCTGATCTCAGGCTAATGCTTGGCCGCGTGTTTACGCCTACTCTTACACTCAAACTCCGGACACTTTTCCACCAAACAATATTCAACACTGTTCCAACCCGATTTTCGACACTTTTCAGGGAACTTTTAAATGAGCCTATTGGCCGCCAATTGGCATTTCCGAAGCAAAAAGACGTTACAAATAGAATACACAAAATGCACAGAAAGAGAAATCATTCTTGAAATAGAAACGAAAATCACTCAAATGTAACAAGTGATATTTCGATGTCACTCATTTCACTAATATCCACACTTAAATATCATAATGGACACTTTTCGCCTCGTGAACAAGAGAAAATGCCGAACTTCATAAGAAACTCGAGATCCAAAGCTTCTGCCAACCACACAATGCCAAGTAGGGCCAAATCGTCTCTCAAGCTCTTCTTTTATGTATGCGGCAACATCCTGTGGAGTAAAAAAACTTATCAAAATGATCTGTTGAANGGTTCTCATAGATGAACCGCGGCCATTTTAATCCTCTTCAAGCAGATACTGAATGAACTGCATCCAGTGATGAATGAATAGTATGAAAGAGTGAAGGAATAACAATTTGCGGTCATATCAGCCCTTCATCATTCAAACACGGTATTTCTTATTCATGCCATGCATTCGTTAACGTAATTATGAACTGAGTCTAACGGTTCGCATTTGTAACCAATAAGTGCTATTTGTGAGTGTTTGATGAGGATGACCGCAGGCAGCATTGCAATTCCATCTATTTATTTTCAATGACATTCAACACTGCAAACGTTCAAGAATATCTACCAATCAGTTGTTCTTAAATAGGCGTTCAGATGGAAATGTTTTAAAAAATGCACAAAAACACGTCAGGTGACGCGATGAAATGGGTTCTTTGTGAAGCAAAAAACAAATCCGAAGTCAAATAATCATATGATGATCTTTTTCGATTGCAACTTTATTGACCGCTCACTCACTTCTCACTCGTTTCTTCCCACCATCTAGCGATCCTTGTGCTCACCACGTAATCGCTAGCATACCAATATGTTTGTTATGCACATTAAAAAACTGCTGTGGTTATTTCTTACTCAGTGCAACCACAAAGTTATTTTGCATATGCATAGCTGAGTCAACTCTATCGAATGACAACACGAAACGAGGTATTGCAGCGAAAATACCTTATCAAATTTGTATCGTTTTTGAGCATCACATGTTATGCCAATGCAAATTTTTACTATTTCTGGCTCCATATCCGTTTCTTTCACCTCCACATTATCGAGTTCGTTTGCCAGGAACATCTGAAAATATGTCAATTTCTCATGGTTGACAGTACTATTAAACTGTAAGTCAGCAACAGACTGAAGTAAGCAATTCATTTAAAAATATTCATAAAAGAATTGTTTGGCTTGTCTCGTTGCTTATACCCATTCATTTGAAGTCAGGTACATCAGCTTATCATGTGCCTCTAGTTAGGTTGTTGGCACATTCATCATAAAGAATATGCTGCCATTAGGATTGCACAAAAACTATCAGGTGCACACAATGATTAAAGAAACGAAAGTAAGGCGTATCTCTTCCTCATTCAACTTATTGTTACGATTTCTTAAGAACTAAAAAACCGCGCTGGTTTTCAACTCGTCCTCGAACACTCGAGCTTGAGCAGCTAATGTAATTTTCATACTCAGCATCACTCAATACAACCCTTGAAATCATCAAGAAAACTGTGCGAGCGCCAAGTGTAGCATGTCCGATCTCGTACAGCTACTTGAGAACTTTTCGTTAAATCATTCCCCCATAGTGATCCAGCCATTATTTTCGCATCCTAAGCATAATATTTGAAAAATTCAAAAACTTGTGAATATTGTTCAAAACAAAACAGATACATACTATGATGACGCTCGAGAAGAGTGGTGAGGGTGGCAATGAAGATGAGCAAAAGTCAGCATGCAAGGTGCTTCGCTTGCTAAGATTTTGTAAGATTTATTGCAACACGCACGAATCGAAAACAGCTGCTATGCACACTTCGCTTTCCATGCTATCTCAAAATATCTCGGTGTGCTTCTTCACTTTTTCCAATCATATTACTAATCTCTCAGCTGATGTCACTAACAATCCTTTGTCTTCTTATTACTCCAGCATCGAACAAAACATTCCAGCAATCCTGAGTCAACAATTACGATTTTTCGCGCCACTCAATCTCATAATTCAAGCAATCCAACTCATTACGAATTCATTTCAACAGCACAATCCGCTATCTCGACTCTGCAATGTATATTCGTATCGAGAGATGCAAAGGTATTTCATCGCAAGGATGATTCCTCTGATCTCATTTCTCACGACAACTTCTTATCATCCTGTCTATGAATGCTTATCGAAAAATCATGAATGAGAAAGTTTTGTGTTCTTAGTCTGAAGAAAATATTATCTCTGCATCTGAATAACTGAAATAACGTTACTCGATCAAGATAGATGAAACTACCTCAATACCCTCTTTCCAAACGAAATTTGATCACATAAGAGAGGATGGGTGCAATTAATTTGAATGAGAAGTTCGAGAGACGATCGATTTCATGTTTCGCCAAAGCCCAAACAGTACCACAGCTGTTATAAATAGATCGATCAGGCAATTCGAAGATTTCAGTTCTTCGAATGAGCCGAGTGTGACGACGTTTTCAAACACATCATGTCGGAAATTTTGTGTGAAGCACGTACTGGCTGCACACTCTGGAAAGCATGAATGCTGATGAGTAACGGAAATTGTACGGAGCATGTTGCAAATTTTGAGGTTCTTTGAAAGCAATTGAGGGAATGAATGAGGGCCTTTGAAACTTCAACTCGAAATGCTCGAGATTTACCTTGTAGAAGTGATTCGAAATCAGACTGAAATCGCAGTACCCCACAAGCGCACATCTGATTCTTGTGCATAAAGCTTTTAGTAAACGTATTGGAACCTTCATGCTAGCATGTTCGAATTTGGATCTATTGAGAATTTGAACAACGGAACAGATCAGTAGCGTTCGGAAGGTTCGCTTTAAACAGCGATCGAAAAAAAAATGCTAATCGATTCAGTAGAACTGATTGATGGTCCGACTTGATGCATTTCTCTCTTTCTCACTCACAGAGTCTTGTCAATTACTGTTGATAATTACCATCGTCAACATTACCCCGCTGCATCGCTCCATAGAATATATCATGAGGAGAGATTATGTAAATAGATTAGAAAAGAGCATGCAGTGGGCTGGTGGTTTACCGTGGTCATATTGTGCTTTGAGATTCTGATAAGCTCAGAACGTATGCGTTCGATTCCTCGACGGTCTAAAGTCTTTGATGAGGAAATTTGGAGAATAAATAGAGAATGCTGATGGCTTACAATCAGTTTCGACAACAAGTGGTGAATTGCCTTTGATAGTGAAATATATTGCTATAAACGTTACTTAATTAATCCCCATCTATATGATTACTTAAGGAGCACCATCCAGGTATGTGTGATATTTTCAGCAAATGCGTTTTCTCGTTATCCAGTGCTGCTGAGATACGCTGCCAAGCATGTAATGAGCTACATCAATTTCCCTGTGACCATGCAGTACGCAGTTGAAGCCGCTTTTTAAACCAAGTATCTCCTTCTGGTACCTAGTCCACAAGTTTCGTATACTTTCCACTAATCCTACAATGCGTCGGACAAATGCTCTTAATGCATTTACTACATGACGACCTGGAGAAATTTTTATACATTTTACACCTTTCGATACGCGCATAATTTATTCTCGCTATTTTCGATTTATTCTTTCTCGTAATTTGCTGCATGTGAACTGTGATGAATCTCAAAAGTTACAGCACAAAAAATGAACCCTAAACATATCTCGATGTCAACGATGAACGCAAATCACTGGTGACCATTTCGAGGCAAACTGCGTGGAAATTCACACCGTATCAATATCATTACTCGTGTCTGTAATAAACAATTGAAGCGTGACTGATCAGTGGCGTAGCCAGGATTTTTTCCAAAAGAGCGGTAGGGGAGGGGAGTGGTGGTGCAAAATAGTTTGGTTAAAAAATAGATGAATTTTGGGGTGTGCTTTTCTAGGTTCATTTTTTCCCTTCCCCTGCTTTTTTTCCTCCCTTTTTCCACTTTCTTCTCGCTTTTTCGTTCTCTTTCTCCTTCCTTTTCCATTCCTTCCAC